AAACTCAGAATTGTTTACATCGACAGCCATATTGTATTTTGTATCATTCGGCATTCGGGTTTCGTTTATCGAGTCGACTCGAGCTTTAACGAGATTTGGGTTTTGTTATCCAAAGCTAGGTTTACATTGTACAAATAATTGAATAAATTCATATTTTTTCAATTTTACGATTGATAAATTAAAAAATGTGAAACTATTACTTTTGGCAAGTTAATAACACATTTTTATTGAGATATTTTGTAATTATTCTGTTTTCTTTATATTTTATATATAATTGTGTTATTGTAAAACGGACGTACGCCAGTTTCGATGCGCAGTAACTTGTTGACAAAATGCGCATATGCTATAAACCCCCGTGGTATCTATGTGTAATTCTTTCGTTCGGAGTTCGGGTATCGCGTCGGGTCTGAACGGATTTGACAAGCCGACAGGGTCAATGATACACATTGTTATATAGTTTGCTCAAAGCGAGTCGTATTATTCGCGGCCAATTTGCTTCACAAGTGCTCGATAATCAGAATCAGTTTAGCAAAAATGTGTTTTTAAGCCACATTTCAGCCATTGAATATGGAATAAAAATAATTATAATTCCCATACATTTTTACTTACAGTTTAGTTCGCCACTCTGGGAACTACTGGCGTCCACGCGCTAAGTGCATGATCCGCTTTCCCCAATCGGTTAAAATAGTAGTTCGTTCGCGAACTAGTTCTTTGAACTAGTTCGCGCGGGTGAACTAGTTCGTGCGAACTAGGTCTTTATAAAGAACGAAGAGTTCACATCTCTAAGTATTTGTTATGAACTCGCGAAAGTCTTGATTTTCGATAATTTCGGTCTAACGCACGTCTAAAGTTGGAGTGTCAGTTTTGTAATGGGGGACGTAGAATATGAAAACACTGCGCGTATTAAGATAATTAAACTTTAACGTGTGAAATAAGAATTGGAACAGAAGTATGAATAATTATTTTCTATTGGCGATTAGTATCGATTTCGTATCGCGGTTCATCTCACTCTTGTGTCTTGTCTGTCACTTGCTAGGTGGCAGTACCATGCAAGACTTTGATGCAAGCATGGTTTTACTGATGGCTAACAGGAAACAGGGCCGGTACCAGGGGCCGTGTTACATGGTTTATTTTGAATAGTTTCAAATCATAAAGCAACCACATTGACTGTTTTATGATTTATATTTTTATTTGATTTTACTTCATTATATTTTGGCATAAATTTCAAACTTGAAATAAAATGCCATTTATTTTAATTTTAAAATTTTTTATTACAGTAAATTAATTTTGAATCATATATCATTTGTCTATTTAAACATGGAAATGCTCAAACAAATAAGCATTTACACCATTTAAATAATTAAATATTTCTAAATCAAACCTATCAAAAATGTTTTCAATAACAAAATCAGCATGTATAGTGCTCAAGACATTTATAAGAGGTTTGTGATATTTTTTGCAAATAAGTTTGAAAAAATGAGAGTTGAAGCGTCGTCCTTTTGGTATCTTACTATCAAGGCGAATTTGAGTATGGATGAAATTTTTCATACGCTCATTGAGTCCACTAGTAAGGTCGAAGAGCATTTATTCATCAGATAACTAGTTAATTCTATTGATTTATTCGTACACCACTTGTATTTTTTTTTCAATTTCTTATTCATCCTATGCGATCTGACCGCTTTTAGCATGGTTACAAGTCCAGGCGCCAATTTGTATCCAAATTCGTTATATGAATAACCTTGACAAAGGCATCGTATCATCGTTGATGCAAGGTATCATAAAGTGATGAAATTTCAGAGGATAACGCTTTTTTTGCCAAACTGAACGAACATCAAAAACATTTTGCCATAATTGAAATTCTTAATATAATGAAAAACACAAAATCCTATTCAACGCCAGTTCAATAACAAACCTTTTCGCAGCCTGGACCATCAATAGTTACAACTTATCTTTGCTTGCAGTTCTACCTAATAGGCAATATCAAACACCTGTAGAGATCCCAGAAGTTTTGCCACAGCATTACTCCCATTATTCTCTGACAATTCCACTACTCTCCAGATCAACTAATCGCAGGTCATCGATGTCTACAGATGATACTAAATAAATTATACTCAATCAAGTATCATTATCATGCATAATAATAATAATAAAAAAAATAATTTTTGCGTATTTATTTACCCTAATGTTACTGGTACTCGCTCTTTAGGTGATATCGCTTTTCTCCATGTAGTATCTTCGTATATTATATTAGGTCCTCTTATTTGTAGTAATGTGGTAAAACTGTGCATCCGAAAATATTGAAAAAATGTAGGGAGTGCTGTACTACTCGTAAAGCATCGTGTATTTTGTAAAAATGTCCGTTAATTAATCTATGGACGAAATTGTAATAAATGTATCACATTCTACGTCGTTTAATATAAAAATTTTCAATTTTATTAATGAAAATAAGTGTTATGGCATCCTTTTAAATCCCTTTAAATTGGAGTGAAGCTCCATCCAAGGGCGGCTCCATGCCGAATTTTCGGAGGGGGCCATTGCCATTGGCCATACCATTTTTAGCACTTTTCTTTTAATAAAAGTCTGGATTGTAAGAATTTTAATCTCGGAGGGGGCCATGACTCCCTCCCTGGAGCCGCCCTTGGCTCCATCTCGATTTTAGTTTCTCGCTCTCACTGTCCTCTCTTATTTTTACTCTTTGGAATTGGCTTGGCAGTAGAACTTTAAAATGTTGTCACAATAAGCCGCCTTGAGAGTTGCGGTGCCGCTGCGATTCATGCGGATTAGCAAGGGCGGGTCCAGGGGGGTCATGACCCCCTCGCCTGGGTGGGCTATATGTATCCTAAAATAAAAAATGTTCTGTGTATTGTTGCTACCCTACCTGCGATGACAGAAAGGTCCTTCTCCACACTTAGGAGGCTGAAAACTTGGTTGAGACGTCAATGGCGGAAGACCGCCTAACAGGATTGGCGCTTCTTCACGTTCATAAAAATGTTCCAGTTGATTAATTAATAATTTCGCGAGAAGGCAGAAGAGGAAAATTGATTTTCTTATTTAATTTGAATAGAATCGAATAGGTTGTATTAAAATATTGGTGTATATCACTTAAATTTATATTGATAGATTTTTTTTGAGTAAAAATTTTTCTCTCGTCTTGGGAGGGTGTACATGCCCCCTGATCCTCCCCCGTTAATACGCCACTGATGGTCTGATGTGACTAAATCTGGATCCGCCCTTGCGGATTAGGGGGATAGCAGGAAAAGGGTTCGAAATGTAGAAAAAATAATATATAAGCAGACAATGTACAATTTTATTTACAACGATTTAAAGCTTTGGCGAATTTAAACAAGTAAAGTATTTAAAAAAGGATTCGGATGTCGGGGCCGTGGCGGTTAGGGTTGGGATCTTGGGGCCAAACTTGGTATACGATTTTTTTTTCAATATAACCGTTGGAGTTTATTATTTTTTCCACGTACATACCCAAAATTTCAAGTTTGTTTGGAATATTTTTTAATCTGAACCAATACAGCTAAAAAATTCCCATTTTTAGCACATACATACTCATATCACAATACCATTAAATTTTATCATTGTTCGAAACATCAAGAGAGGGTCTCAAATGTATCGAGGGCGCATCTGTCCCGGATTCTTGTATTTAAATGAAGAATATTGTAGAAAATCTTGATGTTTGATTGATTGATGGATTGTTGTGGAATGCAGAAATAAAGGTACTTGTTCTTGAAAACTGGTTTTATTTTAACTTTTTAAACTTTGAATTCAATAACCACATAACAAACAATTGAGTGATGCAAACACTTTTAGATAAAAAACTGAATACAAAACATGCTGATTTAAAAAACCTTTTATATCATTTGTTTTAATGTTAAATGTGACTGTTACGCTTGGAGGTTCAAATGGTTTTCAAAAAATGGTTTTCATTGTCATGTCGGTCTAAGAGTCTGTCTTGTGGTTGGTTTAAAGAATTGGTGTGGTTTGTACCAAGTTCGACGTAAAGAGAGATGGAGCGATGTGTTACAAATTGTTGAGCGAGCGATTGAATGTATTTAACAATTTATTTTAAACAGTCTTATGCAGGCGAGGAAGAAATAGTTCTGTAAGAGCAAATCGGAGCTTATGTTTATTAAGCCGGATATTTTACACAAAAATAGAAAGTTATATCTCGCCTAGGCTTTCAACTGCTTCACGCGTAACTGTAGGGAAGCGCACGATGTATCATGTTTAAAAAACATCGATTTTTCGGTTTAGATGATCGATGTTAACATCGATATTTTTTTATCCGATGTTATTAGTTAAAATCGAGTTTTTTTATCCGATGTTATTAGTTAACATCGATGTTTGAAGTAACATCGATAATTTCCTTTTTTGTTAAGCCTTACGTTTCAATTGATGGTTTTTTGTTAAGCGTTATGTTTTTTCAATTGATGGCCTGAATTCCTTTTTTTTGCTCATCAATGAACGTTTTTGGAAAACATCGATGTTTACTAAAATATCGATGTGTGGAGAAACAAACATCGATTTGGAATTACGTTAAACGGCATTTGCAAGGGTTGGCTTTGATTTTAGTTTATTATTTATGTAATTAAAACATGATTTTTACTTTATGTAAGATTATTAAATTAGGTAATACTAACAACAGATTGAATAATGAAATACATTGTCGTTCTTATGTTACCTACCAACCTTACATTACTTATACAGGGGTAGATCATAAAGAGCGTAACCAAGGCATCTGTTAAAAAATTGTTGTCATTTCTGAACAACCGGTTCTGTCCTTTATAAACTCTTTCAAGTTCTTACACTGCTGCCTCTAATTATTTTGTTTGTCGAAGTAATCACTTAATGGGAGAAGCCCAAAAATCATTTTTGAAAATCAAAAATATTGAAATTTTCAGCGTGTAGGTACCAACAATTATATTGAAAAAAATTATAACTTTATTTTTTAAGCATGCCCTCCCCCACAACTCTCCCTAAGAGGTGGGATGAGGTTAGATTGTTATATGGGCGTGAAGTTGTATTTGAGTAATTTGGCCCCAAGTAAATGACCCTAACATGAAGTACAGTTATATATTACTGGACTTCTACTAATCATTAGGACAATATACCTAATTTTCGAGATTATTAGAAAATTACTCTCTCTATTGTGGTTCATGTCTTAACTGAAGCAATTTCAGTAGGAAGTAAATCATCCTTTGGAGTTGGTGAACTAGTGGTTGATGTCTCCAGTTGTAGAATTATAAAATTTTCTATTACTGTTTGTGCTGAAACAACAAGAATTAATAATACTATTCTTATTATCAAAAGTATATTATGAGAAATTGATTGCAAAACACAGTACCTACATTAGGGTGTGTCATTTTTGAGCAACTTTTTTTTAACTAAAAAACAGGCTAAAAACTACCAGGAAGGTGAAAAAAGAAGCCTCTAAAAATTTGAGCTCTTAATATTAACATTTAGTGGTGCCTGTTCCTAACTTTCCATTTTTCATTTAAATAACATGGAAAAGTTTTTATTTACAACCATATATGTAATGTTGTCATTACTAACGTCATTGAAGGTTGGAAAGTGTCACACTACACACCTCTACTTCCCGCCCTCATTTCATCTATTCTAGATGAATATTTTTTATATTTAAAAAAAATAACACATTTTTTTGAAAAATTTTATAATAACTATTTAATGGCAAACATTAAAAAACAACAATGAACTAAAATACAACAAACTACTTATTGATATTTATTATTCGCGAATTTAATATCCGGCTTTATCTGACATTTATTTATATTGGTGACAGTTGTTTACCCCGTAATCACAGTAACAATATATTTACTTGATTATTCTGGGAAAACCGCGCGCTTGGTAATTTGTCGTTAAATGTAATATTTTAGGTATGTTCAGAACGAAACAGAGATTTATTAACTTTGATCGAAATATGATGGTTGTAAATAAAATAGTATACAAACCTCGGTAGGAAGTTTCATTCCTGTCTCGAGATCATAGCTAACCTCGACGCTTCGCGTCTCGGTGATCTAACTAATCTCACGACAGGAATAAAACTCTTCCCACCTCGGTGTGTAATATACTATTTCTTTTTCTTATTTTTGTAGCTTGATATTTGAGCATTGTAAAAATGAAAAATAATATAGTTCAGGTAAAATTATAAAAAATAAAGAAAGATTAAAAATTCAACACAATAACAAATTAATCGTTTTATTTAATCTATAATTGAATCGGTGAGTCAAAGAATAGTACTAGTTCAAAAATGGCATTCTGAGTAAAGTAAAAAAAACTAAATAACTATTTTGTTATTTGACATGTACATATCAAATGTAAAGCTATTTAAGATGAGTATAGGAGATTATGTTTTAAATATTAAAAAGGGTTTGTATATAAAATATTTAAAAAAAATGTTGTGGACATGTATTGTTTTTTGAGTCAATTATATAATTTATATTTTATTTTTAGTAGCCTCTATTTTAGAAATAATGCAAGTTTGTCAAATCAACTATTTTATTATAGATAAAATATACTATAAAATATTTTTGGAAAACGCATGCACGTAGCTAGGGGGGTCCGGGGTGCCCCCCCCCCCTGCAATTTACATTCCTCCCTTTGGCTTCATCAGTTGCAGATCTTTAGAATGGCCCACTCTATGAAAAAATAAATTAAAACTTTTTTGTAGAGTGTTCAATTTCCTACCGAAATAATTTTTCAGTTTATTTTTACAATGCTAAAATGTCAAGCTACAAAAATAAAAAAAAATTAAAAAAATTTTTTTCATGTTATTTAAATGGAAAGTTAGGAATAGGCACCACTTAATGTTAATATTACGAGCTCAAATTTTTAGAGGCTTATTTTTTCACCTTCCTGAAAGTTTTTAGCCTGTTTTTTAGTTGAAAAAAAAAAGTTTCTCAAAAATGACACACCCTATATTTAAAAATTATAAGTAAATATGTAGGTAAGCACTATGTTTATACAATGCTTTTTTTAGATAAAAATACTTTTAGATATTATAACTAGATGATGTATTTTAAAATCAATTTTTAAATCTAAAGGAATGTTCAAAGAACCATGGTTCTGGACAGTGATTCTTATGTGCATACTCAACACGTAACGAATTGAATAGAGAGAGACATTACATACGAATCGCATACTGTGGAACGAAGATAGTCGTCTCAACACGTGCCGAATTGAAAGCTGAGAATCCCAATGCAGAACTCTGAACTTTATTAGGCATTCCAAACAAAATGGCTACCAGTGGGTTTTGACAGGTTATGATATGGCAAAATTATGGTAACCCTGTAGGCTTGCTGATTTGTAAAGTTATGAAAATGTCAATGAAATAGATAGTTAAATAGATTGATCATCCAGATTTTTCAAAATAAACATAAGCTTATGCCTTGAAGTAAAAAATGTAGGTAATATTTTTTTACATTTAAGTATGTTATAACCTACTGATATACCTATTTTGTTTTGATTGGTTGTAGTGATGACATAAGTATCTAAGAGATTGTTTAAAAAATTAAATTGTATTATTTAAAGGTATTTACCTAGCGTGCTATTGTTATCAACAGCTATACTGTGAGCGTTTTCATCATTTAAATTCACTAATGAGTAATTTGCCCCATTCATTAACAATTCCTGACATGTATGGGGGTGATTTTCTTTGGCAGCATACATTAATGCTGTGTTGCACATCTGAAATAAAAATAGATAGGTATTTAAATAAAAAAAGTTGGCTTGATAAGGAGCAGAAGTGTTTAACTAAAAAAGAAAAAATTAAGAGGTAACATTTGCACAGTGTTCTTCTCGAGTTATTAACAAAATCAAATAATATATTAAGTATGCAAATACGGAGGTAAATGTACAGTCACAAAAGTGATAAATGTTAATCAACCTGTATAATCACAAAATTCAAATTAGTTATGTGATATAATTATTATAGGAATCGAGTATACAACGATGTTAAAAATGTACAAAGTATTTGGTAGTAATAGTCAGAATCTAAATTAGTAGCATGCTTTTATTTCCCCATACCACTTTAGAAACAGTAAATGCAGCACACTATGAATCAATATATAGTTAAATTTGGAAATAATAGACAGTAATTTCATGCGAAAGAATGCTGTCATAAGTCATTGCGCCAAACTTTAGGAAAACTTTTCTGAAGTTACAGGACAGGATTTTTTCAATGACGGACATGGTATATTGCATATTGAAATTGCATATATGGCTCCTCAGCATTTCTTTATTCCTGACATTAAATTACTGTTTATATTATTTACGGATTCAACTATATAGTGATACATTTCCATGAAAGATTAATTTGTAGAAAGTTAACCTTTTTAAAAAGAAAATAAAAAGTTGTAATATTTGCAGCAGCAGGACCAATGACATTGTATTGAAAAAAAAGGGGGAGGGTTTGCAACATATCAGATCTGACATCTGACACCTCTTGAATCATATTTGTGAGATCATAAAATTACCAATAATAGGTACCTATGTATTTGTTTCGAAAGCTAATAACTGAATCTGGATTGAACTTAAATATAAAATAACTGAAGTATAAAGATAATGGATATTTAAAATACTTTTAAGCTATTGCATAGCTTTTATCGCGTGCTCTGAGCACGGCGACCGAATCAAGAAATTCCGTAACGAAAATAAACCTAATACCCCCACTCCGACCGGCACCGCGGTACGGCGTTGAAAGCCGTGCATCGTCTATCACCGTCTATCGCCGTGCACCGTGCATCAGAGCGGTTGACAACTTTTCTTTCGGAAAAATTGAATTTGAAAATGAATAATGATCCACAAGAATCCACAACAAAATATGGGACCACCATTGACGCAGTATTTTCCAGATATTTAGAGGATATCAAGTCTCAAACTTATGTTCCTTATTTCAGTTACCATAAACCTATAGTTTCAATGATAAAAATTCCTGAATAACCTACATGTATTGTAAGATAATCAAAATATTTTAAACAATATTAACTTCTCATTTATTCAATAAAAAAAAAACAATTTGTTTTCTTATCGGTCACCATGCTCAAAAAGTGTAACTTGAATTAATATCAAAGAAAAAAATTAATTAATATCAAAGAAAAAAAAATACCTACTGCATAAATAAAATAAATAAATAATTATAATTGCATAAGTTGATAAAAAATGCTATACAATAGCTTTACCGCGGCAGTCCCCGAGTGCCACGCGTATGGTATACCTATCTAGGCTTAGGTCCATAAGGTTGACTGAATATACCTTCATACAGACAACAATTTAGGCAAATTTTGTTTCACTTTCTCACATTTGCATTTTAATAGAAAAACACGATAAGAAACGTGTAAAAATGGAAAGAAAATACATAATTAATGTGATGTACATTTTTTAGATAGGTATTCAAAAGTTTTTCTGCATATTCCAATTTCTAATCCAACCAAAAATATTCTTTGTTGGCAGCAAATATATGCAACCGGCGCGTATGCCTGCATTGTTGGTTGCATAAACAAAGGCTGCTTCAATAATATTCCAGTGCTTGCAAACATTTGGGGCAGTTTTAATTTAAATGGCCCTAAGTTTTTTTCTACAGGTACTTCTATAAATGTATACATTTTATTTAAATATTTTACTAAATAAATGACCACAAAAGAATAATTAATGATAAAGTTAGGTATATCGTTAAAATGAAGAAGGTAAGGTGTTTATATCAACCAGAGATAACATATAACCATTCAATGATAAAATATAATATTCACCATGCCAAGATTATCGACAATCAATACGCTCTATTTGTGATTGCGCGGCGAGGAGAAGAACGGTGAGAAGTAAGAGAGGGGATAAAGAGAAGAATTTTATGCAGATACTTTTTTTTTATCAATTAATAAATGTGTAAGCTGATGTGCGCTATAATATTAAACAACGTAAATATTCATGCCGGTGTAAGCCCTGTTCCACTTCCAACCTAACATGACTATGTTTTGGAATTTATTGAAAATTATTACACCTAATTTAGTTAAAATTGATATGTTCAGTTGCAATAAAATAAGTTAAATTATTTTAGCTTGTTTTATGATGTAAATAATTTTGTAAACAAAACGACAATAATGAAATAGGCATAATATGACAACAGCGGATATTATACCCTCCTGTGTCCCTTAGAATATGTCTTATTCAGGACCGCATGATATTTGTTAGTAGTTACATCTCCTGTTATCTCTGATATCAACCAACTACAACTAATTCATCAATTTATAATTTATTGCAATTATTAACATATAGTACGTTAACCCACGCATCAAGCAAAAGAAAAATGTGACGCTTAATTATATTTGGTCGTAAAGTTTAAAGAGAACAACGCAGTTGGTGATCCATGATTGGAGGCATTGTTATATCTTTACTGGTAATGGGATAGCATCCATTGTTTTATCTCTGTCTATTCAAAATCATCGTTTATCTATAGTATAGTAGAGATTCTATACCGTTTTCCTGGAGTTAGTATTCGAAAGTTAACATACTCTCCACATTAATAAGTAGCAACTGCTGTAGATGTCAGATTTAAATCCAAGCTGGTAGAGCGAGGATTTTAAGACACCTAAATTAAAGGGTATCTTATTGTGTCATATTTTATGTGAATAATTTATATTAAATGCCGCAACGGCAGATAAAAATGGATCCTGGCGATGCTATAAATTGCTTGAAAATACTTTGAAAGGAGAGAATGAAGCTCTAAATACCTAAATGTACAAAAGCTAGTTATACGGAATTGTATATAGTATTTAAGCAGTGCCAATATGATAAGCATTATATAATTAACCAATGATTTAGTTTGCGGTCTACTTTTGTTTGTGCAGCTATATCTAAACAAATACGAACTAATGTGTACCTGTCAATTATCGTTAATATAAATCATGTATTCAATAGCAGATTCCTGACTAAAATCGATACATTATTAGGTAAAAGATTCTTACATGATCCACATGATTGACTTCAGCTCCATAATTTAGCAAAAATCTAACTATATCGTGATGGCCACTAGCAGCTGCCAAAATTAGAGGTGATTCTTCTTCAGAACCGAGATCATTAACATTGGCACCATAATTAACTAATAATTGAACAGCATTAAACTGCCCATAAAAGCATGCCCAATGTAGAGGCGTTAGGTCATTAGAATCTTTAATGTTTACATCTTCTTTTATTACATCTGATTCACTTAATTCTCCCTGGCCCGCTTTCATATGAAAGTCTACTTCTATTATTTCTGGTAGAGGATTTTCCGCAAGTGTATTACCACGTTGTAAATTTGTTAATACCGTATTACAGCTGTAAAATTTATATGGTAAAAAGGCACTTTTACGATTACCATCTTGTAAACTAGTAGGTGACCACTTTTTAGGACTGCTGACGGTATCTGACAATCCAATGTGGAACTCTGTACCAGAGATGCCGAAAACTGGCTTTATATCTTTTTCCTCACTTGATGAATCTTCTTGGAAATTATCCATTTTTAACTCAAATACTTTTTAAATACTGTCTCTATGTTGTAATTACCATTATTTTAGTTTAATTCTATACAAATTACAATTAACTTCTGACTGGGAACAGACTGCTTATACTTCAGCCAACGTTTTGATCGTTTCTCTCTCTTTCTTTCATGACTAAAAGCCATATTCCTCTCTTTATCAGCTGTCAAGTGGTTTGTTTACGTCGTATGATTTAGTTCAAAGGACAAGGCCATTTGTTTGTATTTTGTAGTTGTGGTATTTAGTAGATTAAAAACTAATGTTATGGTTTTACGTTTTATAGATTTTAATTTTGAATTGTTATAATGGACCAAATAATAAAAATAAATAACCAAACAGCTGGAAGAGATAAATTAGCAAGGTAATTATTTAATATAGGTCTAACAAAAACTGTTTTCACATAACCCTTCAACCCTACTTTTTCAGACTTCTGCAATATCTTAGTAGATTTTTATGGCACAATCTCCAAAAAAATCATAAAAATGGTGTTGTTGGACTTAAAAATCTAGAATTTCAACTAAGTACTTTTAGAAAACGTAAGTAATGCAGGCAATGTAAATTTAACTCCAAAAAAATAAATTATAATTTTAGTGCTCAGATTTGGAAGATTCACTGAAAGTATTTATGCAACTCTACCGTTATTTGAAGAAGAGGAAGCAACCATACGATATACTGTAATCTTAAGTAAAATAACAAATTCCTTGTTTCTTCTGGCAGATCACATATTATGGCTGGGAAGGGCTGATTTGTGTTCTATAGACACCGAAAGATGGGCCAATTTATCCAATAGATACTGGTTATATTCAATAACTATGAATTTAGTCAGAGATTTTTATGAAATATCAATAATTTTAAAATCGAATAAGAGTACGATTTTACCCAAAAAATTTCATTCAAAAGATATTGTTGATATTGTGTTTAAAAGTATAGCAATACTTAGTATTAATCAAAATGTTTTAATTGATACAATCAAAAATTGTTGTGATTTTTTCATACCATTAACTTCATTAGGATTTACAAAATTGTCACCAGGGTTGATAGGCCTCTTGGGGGCTATTTCTTCCATTGCTGGGTTATTAATATTAATAGATCCATCTAAAAAGTTGACACCTTCATAGGTTTAAAGATTTTTTTATTGTATTGTTATCATTAAGTTTGGAAATGTTTATTGGTATTGTGATATTAATTATATTTTATAAATCCTATATACAAACCATTGTTATTTTTGACTATTTTTATCTAAATCAAAGTATTTTTAATGTAGTTTACCAAATTTGTAAATGAATAAAAAACTGAGTACATAGCAGGTACGTCTAATTTGCGAATTGGAATTTGATGCCTACCAGGTACTAAATGAGTAATACTTAAGGGTTTGGGACATGTAATATTGTAATACACCAAATCTTTTTGCCAGGTAACCCCAATGTAAATCCAATCCTCTCCAAGGGGTACTTTATTCTTGACAATTTTTGTAGGAATGAAGCACCTCTGGGAGACAATGGGGGGAAATTTGTTACAACTGGCTAAAAGGTAGAGTGGGTGGTATTATGGGTATGAAGTGATAATCCAGTGCTTTTTTTCTAGTACATGGCACTGTTCTTGTCAAAATTAACAAGAGTAAAGTACCCTTTGGAGGCAATAGGGAAAAATTGTAACCTGGCATGAAGTCTCAGTAATCTAGTGTGTTTTTTCTAGTACTTGGCACTTTTTGTCAAAATTTACAGTGGCAAATAATCCTATGTGGGCAATGGGGGAAAATGGTGTCACCTGGCAAGGATGTAGGTATTGGGGTGGTTATTACATGGACAAAACCTAAGTAACGTAGTTCATTTTTTTCTAGTACCTGGTAGTGTTTTTTCAAAATATACAAGAGAAAAGCACCCCTTAGAGACAATGGGTGAAGAATTGGCATCACCTCGCAAAAAGTATCCGGGTGGGTATTACATGTCCCATTTATTCCCTATTAAGTATAACTCGTTTGCTAACTGGCAGCCATAGATTAATTTACCTATGTTGGCAGCCGTCAAATTCTAGTCCGCAAAAATACCCCTACATCAGGCGTGGATACAAGGGCGTAATAGGGTATAATTACCCCCCCCCCCAAGCTGCTCGAAGAAGTATTGGAATTTATTAAATTGTAAGCTCGAGATTTTACGAAAAAACAAAAAAGATGATTGACGAATAATAATTATATTCCACCGAAAAATCTTCCCAGATCCGGCGCCTGCACTACATAGTAACTTTTAGAATAGATATTTGTTAGTAACAAAATCGAAATGTAGACAGACGTAGGTACAAAACAAATTTTTATGAATAAATTTTTATTTGCTCCCTAGAACAAAAAATTCTCTATTATTAGGATATCTTCAGTTTGAATAATTAAATCAGTCTTTATATTTTGTGACTTCATTCATAGATTATTTTCTGGTGAAATAATACATATCTTCAAAAAAAGAAAAAAAAATATGTGAAATTTAAAATATTTGTTTGCAGTATGCAACCAACACAGCACTACAAGTGAAGAAGGTATTATCTAATTTTTTTAAATTTGGAAACGATAATTTCTCTATTTACTATATTTATTTTTATAATGGTATATTATTAGAATAAATAAGTCATATTTAAATAGAATAAGAAAAAAAAGTACAACACGAGAAAAATAATTTTTGTAAGGAACCGATAGTTAAAGAAAATCAGGCAAAACGTCATTGTCAACATCATTTAGCTGTCAATTTTCAGATTTGTATTTGACATTACGACAAAATATTTGGTTCAAAATCTACTTTTTTGGAAATACTTTTAAAACCAAATATACTGAAAACCAGATGATATGGTTTAATACTATAACTGCAGATTTATTTATTAAAATACTAACAAAGAGGTATGTTTTATTGACTTATACTTTAAAACTTATAAATATGGTAAATATTAACTTTGTAATTCAGATTTTATTTACGTCAATTTGCAGAATAAATTAATTATTGTATCGGAATAAAGAACGTTGATCCCACTCCTTTTTGAAAGTGAAATTTTAACATGCAATCGAGAAATCTGAATTTCTGGTATTTTTTATAACATACTTTATTTTTTTAGGATGTTCTTATCCTTCATTTTACTGGATGAACGTTAAAAAGGTTACCTAAAAATGTCAGGGACTGCACCTGCTGTACCAGAAGGTGTTAACCCGGAAAATAATCACATTGGGGGTGGCCCCTTTATTAACACCAATAGGTTAAGAAATAACAATAACCAAAATCCACTATTTAATGTTCGTGATCGCTTATTTCATACTTTGTTCTACAGAGTTGCTTTAGCTTATGCAAGGACTTTTCCAAGACCCCTGAGAAGATTTTTAGAATTCCTTACTTTAGTTAAAGCTATAACTGCCTTTTTTGTGCTAGTTTATATACATATCACCTTCTCTAGAACACCATCAACATGTTTAATGCATGTAAAAGATACGTGGCCTCGAGATGGCATTCTTAGAGTAGAAATAGTGAGAAATGTGGCAAAGGACTATAATATTGAACAGAGTTATGCAAAAGAGGAGAAGTTAAAGCAGCAGGGTAAAGTGGAGGACTTTGTGCATGTAATAGGATTACTGGCAAGGGATGGTTTTATTAATATTGAGCCTACAGCAGTTGAAGACAGTGCTAAGGAAACTGAGCCATTGGAAAGTAGTATTAGAGGTTAGTTAGTTTTGTTACATCTTTTAGTATTTAACACGTTAAGCACTTTGTGTGAACTAATGTACACATTACATATCCAATCGATCCAGGATGCTGTGTGTATGGATAGTATCTATATGGCCAGTGTCTATGTTTGGAGGCATGTGCTCTTTTTGTAAGGTTTTCTTATGAGATATTAATTAGTTCAATGCTGGATAAAACTTACCAGTTTGGCTTGAAAAATACTTATTACTGTAATAATAATGTGTATATATATAAACAATATTAAAAAAAAATCATGTATGATAAAAACGCCAGTAATCTACACTAGTAGAAATTCTAATGGCGATTTAAAGTAATTTAGGATACCCTAGTAATCGACACTCTTTCACCAGTTATTGCCGCTTCAGTTATGGACAGCTTCACCAGTTATCATCACCCCAGTTATTGACAGTTTCATTAATTATTGTCGCCCCAGTTATTGAGACTACAAAGACAGCTTTAAGAAGTCAAAACACTGGAGCACCATAATACCTCACTAATTGACAAAAAGTGTTGAACACTGGAGAATAATATGAGTACCCAGTTTTCAACAACACTAAAATTTAGGATTTAATCTAAGAAAGCAATGAAATTTTACCAAAAACATGTGTTTTTTAATGCAATGATACCTTACACAAAATTTTATTCACATATCCTAACTATTTAAAAAGCAACAATCTCTTTTATAATGTAGGTACTTACCTAAACAAATTTGTTTAGAAAAAACTAAATTATTTTGCTTGACACAACATACCTACTCCATTTTTGTTGCTTAACTAAAACTGTGACCTTTGAGGATTTTTATAGTTTGGACAGAGATATTAGACTTTTGTCTTGGCAGAGGATTATGTACAAATCTGAACACATGCCCTTATTAGAAGAGTATGAGTTTTATAGTATCGATTACTGGTGCTCTTACCTTACAAAAATAAGTAATTTCTAAAATGTTTGGCTTTTCCACTGTAATTTTATTGGAATATATTTTTATTTTTTATTTAACAGTACAATGAGTTAAAAAAATCAAATAGATCCTATAAAAATATTTTATGAAAGTAAAAGAATACCTACATGTTTTATGTGAGTTATAAAAAGGCATTTTACAAAATTGGAGACTTTTTTGAACATGCTGGACAAATATATAGGTACTTATAAACTTGTTTCCATGATCTACATAATATTTTCTGTCATGTTTTTTTTTACATATTTTACATAACAATATTTACAATGTCTTCATTTGTCTGTGGACTTAAGTTCATGGTTGTGATCTCAGCACTATTTTGTACAATATTTTCTTTATTTATCCCCCATAATTATTTTAAACACGGGTTTTGTTAAAAAAACTTCCAGGCATTTATAATAGATGTTCCAGTCAAATCTTTAACCACAACTTTTCTAATTAATTTCATTATTTAGGAAAGTATAATGTGCTGAGATTTGGCTAGATGCACCAATAAATGATTTAGCAGAATTGTAGCTACCTACATAAAGGTTTATTTCAGATTCCTCTTTCTCTACCTCTAACTTCTATCATTTCATCTACATGTTTGGTACCTAGTTATAATTAAAATGAATTTTTTGTCTTTCCACTTTCCTCTTATCCACAGATTCCACCTTTTTTATCTTTTTCTAAACAATTTCTACTATTTTTTTTTTTGTGAATACTATGCATGGTGCCAACTAAATAATGTTTATGCACAGGGCCAAGAGCAATTTTTGTTAATTTGGCGCTGGGTGCATATATAATATACCTACATGTTATTTAATTAGTTAATAACTGCTGTTATATATTTTGGGACATTGCATATTTTCTAAAATGTACATCTTAATTTTGAATAAAATTGTTTCCGCATCTCAGACCCTATGGCAAAATTTTATTCAGGACTGAACGTGTTAAAATATTGTCACAACTTCTAATTAATAAAACTTCCAAATTTAATAGATTCATATTTAATATTCAATTCACCTACACTGGGTCAATTACCTTTAAATTCCATTAATATAATATTTTAGTATTAAAATATTTTTATTCCCAATCAAATTAATTTTATTTTTTGCAGTTCTTGGTCGTTATTAATGGCACAGATAACTAGGTACTCTTAGAAAATCATAATAATATAATGAAATTGGATTGTTAATGTTAATTATTGGTTGTTGTTAGTCAGATCAAGATTCACTACTGGAGTTGTTTTTTTTATCAGATTACTCATTACACATCTTTAAGATTACATTTTTGAAATAAATATTTATTATTTGCTACAGCTATTAATATTACAAAATTTCATTGTATTAAGAGAGTGAGTTTTAAGTTACCTAAACAACTTATTTCTGGCGATTCTGTTTAATCATGACAATTATTCTGCTTTAGTAATTTTGATCAATTTGAGTGTCCATTATGCTGTGCTAAGTACCACATAAATATAAAGAAGGAATTTAATTGAATTATAAATCTTAGTACCTACTTAATATCAAAATTAATGTAATGATGTATGCTAACTTAACATATGTTAATGTCCGTTCATACTT